ACGGGCAATACAGATGAAACATGGCCAGCAATTGAAGGAGCTTGACCGGCTCCAGAAACACAACATCCGGCGCCGTCGGTCCACTCCACAATGCCTGTCTCTTATACACATCTAGATGTGTATAAGAGACAGGAGAGAGAGAGAGAGAGATGTAACGCATAACATTGTGTCACGTGTTGTATTTCATTCGTACAGCCACTACAAGATCTCGTTGTGGTGTCGTGAATATTCGAGTTCATCATGTACGCAAATGTCGAAAGATAAACCTAATGAGCGACGTAAGACTCGCAATTCAAGATGTGGTCAAGAATCTTGAAGCGGCTACGAAACGCAGGTAGCCGAGGAAGTCCTTCAGAGCACGGCTGCTGATTTGCACGCTGTGCAACAAGAAATCGACTTGCACGAACAGTGTGTGAATGCTAGGGAAAATGAACTTCTGCATTATAGAACACAAACTGCTCATGCAAATCGGCAATGTGCAGATGGTTCTCATATGAACAAGATGATGTCTGACACAGGGATTGTGAGGTGCAACAATGAGGGTCGTTGCCTAGCATGTGGTCGCTACCCAACTGGGAGCACAACAATGGGTTCCCCGTCTTGGGAAACCTTATGTCAGAGGAATGTTCCATAGCCCAGCACATCAAACCGATCAGTCACCTCAAAAAAAAAATTGTCATTTACAAACATTTGATGCGGGGTTCGTTTCTTCGCAAAGTGTTACGGTTCACACACGTAAGTACGTCTCTCTCTCTCTCTCTCTCTCTCTCTCTCTCTCTCTCTCTCTCTCTCTCTCTCTCTCTCTCTCTCAAAAACCCAACAACCCAACCACCCAACCACCCAACCACCCACCTAACCACCCAACCAGCCAACCAACCAACCCACCTAACCACAAAACCGGCCACCTAACCACACAACCAACCAAGCAACTAGCCACTCAACCACCCATCCATCCGCTCAATCATCCAACCAACCACCTAACCCAACCACCCAACCACCCAACCACCCAACTAACCAACCAACGTACCACTGTTCGTTATTATTATTATTTTTGCAGCCGCGAGACTCGACTCATTGTGTCCGTCGCTTATCGTACGCATTGTGTTGCCTTCATGTTTCGCAGTGCCGTCGGCCAGCCATTAGGACTGTTCTTAATTGTCAGGTTCACTTATTCTACGCTGCGACACAACATGGCAGACGTAGTTGTTGTTGCGAAAGAGGTTGTGGATGGAAAGAAAATCGTCGTGAGAGAGACAGTGTGTGAGCGCGATACTGAAAATGAAAGAGACTTTGAATACAAGGAAGGGGTTGTCGCCACGAAAACACGTGTGTATTACACGTTCGTCAATGACACCCTCGCTTTGAGGGTCGTAGCTGCGCTGGGGTACGACGACCATGATTGCCTTGATGAGGTTGTATTGCACGCAAAAAAACTTTCGGATGTCGTTCCCGACGCCTGCGAACCCCCCGACTTCGATATGATTGGTCATTTGCTAAGGTACATCGTGTCAGTTGTTGCGGTCGAGCATTTGGAAAGGTTAGCATGCAATGCATGGTATTTCTCCAAACTCGACCGCCCGCTGCAACGCCGTAGTTTTCTCCACGGAGATGTGCGCAGTGTGTTGCCAAAGGACGGTTACGGACAACAGTGCGAAAGTGTCAACGAACCATCGTCCCGCTCGTCTCATGCGTGGTCCGAAACATGTGGTTGAGGAACAAAATCCCAAAGGTTTTCAACATTCGACAGTGTTGGGGACCGCAACTACCCGCTCCTCCCATATATATGTATGAATGGCGTTCCCCCTCTCCGTACGGTACATGTAGAACATCATGTTTGTGTTATTCTTTGTTCGATCGTTGGGTTCATAACTTACAGTGTCGCTTTCTGTGAATTGCAACAGTTTCCATACGCCATACGAAAGAAGCGACGATGCCTTGCGCGCCAATGATTTTTCAAAGTTACCACACCATGAAACTGACAGGCGGTGACATAGTATACTATTACGAATCAATGACTCCCGTAACAGATCATGTCGGCGATGCAGTGGGGTACCGCAATAGAGAGGAGATGGTGGATCGTCATTTCGTTGTCAGCGTGGAGAAGGACCGAGTCGTGAGACTCACTACTGAGACTTATATTCGTGACCACGCCATCGAACACGTTCGTGTGCTAATGTCTAAGCTCACTACGTACTTTAGTACCTTTGTTCTCAAACCGGTCGAAGGTGATTTAATGTATGATATCGTTTACCCCCTAGTGCATCGCATACTGTACACACACTACGGGACGGTCGCTTGGGACGGCGTCTGGCGCGTGGTCATGTCACCGCCCTATTTCGTGTCCAATGGCGAGGATTTCTCTGCCATGTTTTATCCCTGTTGTGTGATGAGTACCATTCGTTTTTTTTGCTATGTTTCATCGTTGTTGGAGAGAGACAAATTCATGGTTTCAATGATTGTACATTTTGTGTATACACATGTAATTGTCATATCCCATGTGTTTTTTTAATATTTTCGGTTTTTTTTTCAGTTGCTTTGTGTTTTTTATTGAGTTTTTGTTTTTTCGTTATGTCGAGGTACAGTACTGAGGTGATCGGTGTCCGTAATGTTCTATTTTGTAGACGTCTGCCTACGGTTTTACCAGGCAGTTCTGTTTGTGGCGATATATACTACGACTTCGCTAGCTTCCTGCTACGGTTTTTTCCGGTCAGGTCGAGCGGCAGTGGTCGGGGCCGTTACTAGGCGGCCATGCTGTGCCTCTAGTGCCAGCGGCGTGTCTGGAGTGTATTTTTTGGCTGTGACAGACCTTTCTTTGTTTCGTGGATGTTTTGCTGGCTTGTGATGGGGTGTGAACCGACAGTCTGTAGAGTTTTCCATCTGGTGTGGGTGAGTGATAGTCTACTTTGATTTTGGTTAAGGTAGATTACCATTTACAGTGTAATCAGTGAGGGGATTCTGCAGACTATTGAGGGTTCAGCCTCCTGATGAGTCGGTGAAACTCCGACGAAACAGTTTGTCACAGCCCCTCGTTTGTTGTCCTCTTCTCTCTCTCTGCCTACGGTTTTACCGGGCAGTTCTGTTTGTGACGATTCATATATATATATATATATAGAGAGAGAGAGAGAGAAACAGAAAGAGAGAGACAGAGAGAGAGAGACAGAGAGAGAGAGAGAGAGAGAGAGAGTATGATTGCGAGTATGCTTGCCTTGAGTATGACTACGTGTGTCAGTCCCACTGTGTGTTTGCCTTGAGTGTGTGTGTGATTGTAACCGTAAACGTGGGGGTTGCTTTTTGTGTGCCCTGTAACGGCCAGTGCTTGTTCGACAGGCCATCAGGGGCGGTACTTACCTATTGTCGTGACTTACAGGGATTGCATTGTACATCATCTTCTTCTTATTATAATCCTCGTTCTCTCATTTCAAGTTCATTTTGTTGTTTTTGCAATTGTATGTCATTGTACTATTGGCTATGGAATCTGAGCGATTATAATCCTCGCTCTCACCACTTGAGTTGATTCATTTATTCTTGCAACTGGATGTCATTTTATTATTGGATCAACGTGTAACTCAAAATTGTTTCGGCTATATAATGTTAAACAACTATTACCTAAGAGCGTAAGCATGTGAATCACAAGAAATAAGATGGGCGAAAAAAACAGCAATGAAAGGACAAACAGGCAAAGAGACAGACAAACTAGAATCACACAAAATAATGTCCTCATATATATATATATATATATATATATATATATATAACATAAAAAAAAGTAGGAAATAATATAGCATAACAAACAAGACACCATGAGATGTGTGAGAACAACGCCGTGTGGAATGATTTTCGGATCAGCAGATCAATGTCAGGTCAACGATAAAGCCATTCAACCAGTCAAACGCTAAACAACTCTATATCGTCACCCTCAGATTCCGAGCTCGATGTCGGGACCCAATCATCGCATGCAGGCACCACATCGTCCTCCACGTGACCGATGATGAAAACACAGTTATCACCCACCGCCTCATGGTCGGAACCGGAGGCATCATCATCAACGTCTTCCACTGGGTCGCCCCCACCGTTGACGAACAGATCGTGCAGAAATGGCCCGGCTCCATAAGGACAAACCTCCTGACGCACGAACTCTTGAGCCCAGTCCGAAACACGAGCCGAACCGAACACGGACGCCGTCAACCTGCCCTGCCAAGAGTCGATCGCCTCCTGACCGTAGTGTCGACGAAAGTCGGGTCTCGGACGTATGGAAGTGCCCTCAGCTATGCGAGCAACGTACCCGACTGGGTCGCGCCAGCAGTGACTGTTCCACCGAGTCACTGTGATCGACAGACGCGCACAGTAAGACTTCTCGAAATGCACCAACTTCTTCGCATAGATGATGATGGTGCCTTGAAAAGTCTCCACCGCCGATGTGTGCCGAAACTCGACGTAGTACGGCGTGATGTTAGTGCTGCATTGTTTCCCGAGAACACGCAGAACGAGCTCGTAGACCGTGTCCGTGCGGCTATACAAAGGCAATCGTGCAGGCTCACCGGCCTTCTCGCACATAACCTCCCTACCGCCGACATATCCTGAATGATCACCACCCCAATGATCGGCAACCAACATGATGTCACGGTGTAGACTGCTGGCGTCTCCACCCTCCTCCCTGCACAGCTGACAAGCGCGGAGGAACCACATCCCAACCTCATGTGCATGATACTCTGTCAGGCCGTCAGGATCAATCTCCAACCCTCGAGCGTTCAACCTCGATCCATAGGGGTACATCTTCCGCATGACAACAGCGACGAAATCCGATTTCTTCATCCGCTCCTCAACAGGTGTGAGGACGCCAAGTCCGAAACGCTGCTCCAACGCCTCCAGCAGCCGCTTCTTCGTGAACTGCATAAACTGCGCCTCTGACACATACTCGTGCGGGTTACTCACTTTTTTCGCTTCCTTCAGTTGCAGCAGACTGTGGATGTGCTTGCGAATGTTTTTTATTTTGTGGTGGCAATCCTTCTGCCAGTCGATGTTCAGAGCTCGCAATTGCGGTCCCAGCGCGGCACAATCATCCGAGACAACGCACCGGATCTTCAACCCCTTCTACATCAGCCCTCGCAAAAGTTGCACGACGGATGGCACCTCAAGCGCATTCGACGCCTTGCCTTCGATCTTTGGACGGAGAGTGTACACACCCATAACAAGCCGAGTCTCGTACTCCATCGCAGCGACAGTGCAATGCTGCGCGCCTCTGGCAGAGTCATATCGACCATCGACCATCAATGTCACTGGCTCACCACGGCCCATCACAGTGTCAATGGCAAGCTCGCAATATTTAATGTCGTGTCGTACGACCTTGGCATTCCACCCCTCCGCCTCCCCCGGTTTTGTGCGCATAAACTTGTAGAACGTGGGTTTGTGCACCGAGCACATCCCTAAACCAACACAAAAGTTGCCGAGGAGCGTGAACGTAAGGCCGGTGGTGACCGTCGCATGAAAGAGTTGCTGCTGCAGTCGCGACTGATAGACGTTCGTGGTCACGAGTGTCGTGTGCCACGTCCATTTGCATTTCTTATCGCATACGAACGTCAGCTTATAGAGCTGCGCTGGATAGGAGACGGACTCCACACACACACGGCACAAGCCCTTGTGCCACGGGCAATACAGATGAAACATGGCCAGCAATTGAAGGAGCTTGACCGGCTCCAGAAACACAACATCCGGCGCCGTCGGTCCACTCCACAATGCCATCGCCTCCTCAACACTAGCACGGTCAATTTCAGGCCGAGGACCGCACTGGTCAACACCGTCCCAATTGTCCCACCACGTCTGCGGCCGAGTAGGTGTCGGTGTGTACCGACCTGCGCTGCGGGGTCTACCGCGCCCTCTGTCACTGCGCTGTGATGCACAACGCGACGACGGAAACGAGTTCTGCGATCCCTCCTGCGACTCCCCCAACCCTCCGCTCTTTGAACCCTGTGAACCCCCCAGAACGTAGTCAGCACCGGAATCGCCTGGCATATAACGCAACGTGAAATCTCGATTGCACACCCGAGATGGCAACGACGAAGAAATCACACCTGCTACCCCGACACCAAACTCCGCATGGCTGGCTGGCAAGGACCAGTGGAGCAGCCGATCAATATTGTCGTTGACCGGTCCGCGATGGTCACCCACACCGGTCATAGCATCGCGGAGAGCGTACAACCGCATCCGACACGGGTCCCGCACACACACACGCACGATGCTGTTGCCGCCCGAATACGGCGTGCCACCGACCACCGCAGAGTTATCGACATCGTCAACAGGAGGCGTGGAATCAGGAGCGACAAAGGGAGACTGAGGCGGCACCGCAAACGAACCGGCCGCCACGCCGACGACTCACGGACGTGAAACGGTTGGACAACACTAAGCGTCGCTGCGATTTCCTGAAAGAGAAGCGCCTCCAGCGGGACATGGCGGGGCCAGCGCATGTGACCATACAGGTGCTGAAGAAATCGTGGCCGCATAGTCCAGCCGTCTAGGCAGTAGTGGGGATGGCAGCAACTGACCACCAAACACACCTCCATACGCGGCTGCGTCACGAACCGCGGGCACACCCGGCGGAGAAGCCCCCAACACACCAGCGAAAGGCGAAATGGGTGTCACGCTCGGGTCAACGACGCGGCGAGTTCCATGCGAAACGCTACCTCGGTGCCTTTTCCCTAACTGGACCTCCGGACCACCACTGTGTAGTAAAACGCCCAACAATCCCTGTGCTGCACATGAAGATCGATCGACGCTTTGACGAGCATAGGGCATCCCCTGCTTATCTGGAGAGAGAAAATGAGAGAGAGAGAGAGAGAGAGAGAGAGAACACACACATACACAGATCAATCAATCAATCAATCAATCAATCAATCAGTCAATCAATCAATCAATCAATCAATCAATCAATCAACCAATCAATCATTCAATCAATCAATGAATCAAGCAATCAATCAATCAGTTTATTGATTGATTGATTAATTGATTGATTGATTGATTGATTGATTGATTGATTGATTGATTGATTGATTGATTGATTGATTGATAGATGCAAGGAACATGAATATGGACGAAGCACGGAAATCCAGATTGCAAAATCACAATGAAGTCCAAGTAGTCAAAGCCAGAGAAGATAGCACAAATGGAACCGAGAAACCATCCATTTGAGAATGATACAGAAGCATCGTGAGTCAATGTCCAAGCCCAACCACAAAGAGAGAGAGAGAGAGAGAGAGAGAGAGAGAGAGAGAGAGAGAG